TGCTGCAGACACTGAATGTTTTTACATTAATATTCTGTACAGGGCACACTGGTGCTGCAGACACTGAATGTTTTTACATTAATATTCTGTACAGGGCACACAAAATCCAAACCTTATGGTTTTCAGACAAGCTGTTCTTTATTTGGAAAAAATAATTAATATTAATTAATAATTAATAATAAAATAAAAATGAAACACCAGGTTTGCTGTACGTGTATGGCCGCACAATTTGGCCAAACATTTTGTTTTTATATATCAATAAAACTAATAATGATTATGGTTAATATTTCTAACTAAAAACATTAAACAAAATAAGGTATATTACTTTTGTAATAACACTATTTCACTATAATATACAAAACGGAGTATTTAAGAATAAACATAATAATAAATATAGCTCCAAGAAAAAAAAAGTACACTTCTTTACCCTAGAGAAAAACATAAGGATTTGCAAATGTTTACCTCAAAGTTCGTTTATTAAATTAAATTAAATTATTTTTGCTATTTTTACTCAAATTAGGGTTTTGTGAGCAATAATGACTACTCTATTAATGTAATTTCTTTTCATTCATACTCGTCGCCGGAGGGCGCCCTCGCGCAGAATCTCCACAAGTGAGACTCACTGATGATGTTCCAGGAAATCCAGCTTTCGCTGTAGATGTAGCCGAGTAGCTGACTAACATGCAGATAGAGGTTTTACTGATGAAACATGAAGAAAATAAACAATGACTGTGACAACATATGGTTTTATCTGTGCTCTTCAAGCCATCTCGGGTATTTTTATAAGAAAGTTTAAAATGCAATGCTAATTGATATAGCCTTTATCACTATATAGAATGATATAAATTGGCATGATTTCTGCCTCATTCTTTTTAATGAAACCATGTCAGATTACAATAATAAGTTATTTTAAAGACTCGACTGATGTTGTGAAGTGAATTTGAACTAAAACATATCATTATACTTTTGTTGGAAAACAGGTTTGTAATCTTTCCTTGTGCAAGATAGGCTAACATACAAAGCCAGTTAGACTTACTTAACAATCAAATTAATTCTGCATATTAATATTTGTATTACCATGTGGACTCTGATTGGACAGTGGAGAGGTACTGATGTTTATGTAATGAAGATATCTCCAAATACATTCTCACTAGTTCTTTATGAGGTTGAAGATATCTCCAAATGAACAGGGAGACATAGGTATTCTGTTTTTGATATCATCTTTTAATTTCTGACTAGTAATTATTGCAATAGTGACTAGTATCTATTTAAATATTACTAGTAAGCATTCATTAGATACTAGTACCTATTTAATAGATACTAGTAGTTATTCATTAGGTATGATTTTGTACCAGTACCTAATGAATAACTACTAGTGCAAAAAAATTAAGTACTAGTCACTGGTGGAATACATACTAGTCAAAACTGAATAGTTGATATCTCAATGATGGATCCCCATAGAAGTCAATGGCAAAAATTAAATTTTTTTTACTAGTAACAATATAATAGTTACTAGTCACTATTGAAATAAGTACCAGTATCTATTGAATAATTACTAGTATCTAATGAATAAATACTAGTATCAAATAAATAAGTACTAGTATCTAATAAATAAGTACTAGTATCTAATGAATAAGTATTAGTATCTAATGAATAAATACTAGCATCAAATAAATAAGTACTAGCATTTAATCAATAAGTACTAGTATCTAATGAATAAGTACTAGTATTTAATCAATAAGTACTAGTATCTAATGAATAAGTACTAGTAACTTTACAAAAAACACTAGTACGTAAAGAATAAGCACTAGTACTTAATGGAAATGATACTAGTATGTAAAAAATAAGTACTAGTAACATTAAATTAGATACTAGTGCGGTTTATAGATTAAATGTTAAAACGGCTTGCCATAGTTGCCGAAATGGCTGGACTTTACATCTGATCCAGTAAAATACTATCTGCTTATTGTATCGCATGTTCAGAGGCTTTGCCTATCCTGCTAAACTTCGTTGCCTTCACGGAACTCAGATACATATTTTTTCCTCTCCAGCGGGCGTCACTGAGTTTCTGAAAGCTTTGGAAGATAATGTTCGAAGATTGCAACAGACACAAGCAGGGGCTCGAGCCCCGAATGTTTTGTCCTTAAGTCCTAGGAATTTTGCCAAGGAGCTCAGAGGAAATGTTGATCGTTTTAGTTGGCCACTGTCAGTAAGCGATTTCGACTGACATCTCTCACTCACTCACTCATTCACTCATTCACCATGTGACTTAATCCTAAACTATTTTACAGCCCTTGAGCGTGACAACAATAAAAAAACGGTCAGAAAACAAGGGTCAGTTTAGCACAGAGTGGACGACATATCAAGGCAATGGCGACTCAAAAAAAGACAGTAGGGGTTCAATCTTCAACTGGCTGGCAGGAGCCGCCACTGCCAGTGGCAAGTCACGTGACCTGTCAGTGGTTGGGGGCAGCTGCCAGTGGCAGGGCACGGGGCC